AAGTGCTGTATCATTTAAAAATAATATATAAAAATGAATTTTAATTCTACTAGGACGCCCAGGCTATTGATTAACTGCATCTAGTATATGTTCTCCTTTAGATACCAGTTAACTCAGTGCCCTTAATGAGTCACATAATCAGGTCTGTAGTAATAAATTATGGAATAATTTTTCATTCCTATTTTATTTTTCTTTCCTTACCTGTAGAGTTAACATTCTATTTTATAGATGGTTAAAATTACCTCCTAAAGTAGTGACTACAGGGTATAAATCCAAAGTCATTTACCTAGATGGGTGACTTGTTTGGTCTTATTTCTTTATGAGCTTGGTTGAGCCAAGAAACGATTTTTTAAACAGAACATGTGAGTACACACCTGTAAAGTAGCTGTAGCCACTTAAGCAGATGGCAACTGAAACCGACCATGACTTCACTTCTCATTTGATACCTTTTGTAGTGAGCAGAGTCTAGTTCTCCAGGGACCCAGATTTATACATTTATTCATTTAATACAAACTCCTTCTATAATGGGCACTGATAATTTTATAACAGAAGTATTTCTGGAATAGTAAAGTCTGTCCAGGTTTGCAGCNAAACATTAACCTTGGAGCTGGGTTGCTATTAGGGAATTACACTCTGCATGACCTGTGTGAATCACAGCTACCAGAAAACAGAGAGCACAAAGAACATAATAAAGAACACAGAAAATTCAACCCTAGACTGCCTCTGCATGGCTTCACAACATTATAGATCTGACTTTTCAAAAATCTTTTTGTGGCAAAATTTGCTTTGTGTTTACTCCCCTTATGCAACCTGCAACCAAAGAGAGTACCTTTTAGCAAGGTATTTGCATTCTTCTTCTACCCAAATCAGCATGTAAATACCAAAAAGAATTAGGAGAAAGAGTAATTTTTTTTTTGTTTAGGCATGTATGTAGCATAAACTTGAGACTGTGCACCTGGATTATATTTATAATTTGGGGACTGGATGGGTAATTTAGGTATGAACTAAAGATTGGCTACTCAAATGCAGTGCTGTTTCTTTGCTTCCTTTTTACAGCTCTGAATTCACAGTTATTAGTTATAAGTATATGCCATATAACTAAAAGAAGTACTGCCAAAGCCCAATATTAAGTTATTTCTTTAATTTGTATGA